CACAGCAAAAGATAAATTAAAGTGGTTCTCACCCCCGCTCCTCGGAGCTTACGTCACTCACATTTCCTGTTCAAATCTTCCTCTAAATGGGCGTAGCCTGGAGGACTGAAGGGGGCGTGAACGAGACTGGGCCGTTTACATTGCTCTGGGCGGGGGGCTGCTGACGTCAGGTCCAACTTGCAGACGTCAGGTCCAACTTCTGTGCCAGTGTTGGCGCCAGATTCAAAATTCAAATGTAGTAATACAGGTCGCCAGCAGATGGCGCCTCACAGACGGTTTTAGGCAGAAAGTTTAACTTTCAACTAATTTGCACCAAAGTGACAAAATTATGACCAAGATATGTAGACAACACTATTGGACACTCATTTATACCGTTTATCAGCAAAAAAAAGTGGATTTGAGGGTGAGTTGTCCTTTAACAATAGCTACACTAATCAAAATAAAATAAAATCTCTAACTCTAGCATCAAAGAAACAAGTGTAAAATGTCTATCTTTAACATCATAAAAAGTATAAAATCTCTAAATTTGGAAAAAAAGAATGTATAAAGTACCGTGTATTCTAGTGCACTGGACAATATCATATCTCTGTGGATGGCATCACAAACTGCATTTTAGTTTTGTTTGTCCAAAAATGCACTCATTCAAATATGCAGCTTAGAAACACAAACAGCACCACTTCTTTTGCGTGGACGCACATGGCCACTCAGCGCATTGCGACGTTATCGATCGCAGACATATCACTATATTTACCGGCTGTGTGTGGGGTTAACAAAGAGGCGCTCTCGGCTCCGCTGCCTCCTTGTCATAAACTTTAGTCTAGTTTGTGACCCATGCCGCAGCAGGTCAGCGATTCATTTTAGGGCCAGCTCTGTCACAGTCACAGGGGCCCGTAATCGCCCCAGAGCTGTGGCCGGGGAGCATCCAAGCAGAGCCCCGAAGAGGACCAGAGGATGCGTCCAGAGCCGATAGCTGATGTAATGTTGCTGATGTGTGTTTGCTCGGACGTCAATCGTGGTCAGTCGTGTTTAATTTATGGAGCTTTTCACAAGAGAAGAGATGGCAATTGTTTTCAGATTAGAGAAAGTGATGATGTGTCGACTGCAGAAGACCCGTCTGACCATGAAAGACCTGTGTACAGTTTATGTTATCGTCTACGGAGATTATTATACTATATTTTGTTGCATCTGAAATCCTAAGCCTAATTTTTTTACTATGTTTTGTAATGGCATCATACGTAACATTTTTATAACTCGTTGGGTCTGTAATTTTTTGGTAGTCTCTGTCTTCATGTCAGTCCTCACTCAGTCACATCATTTGGAGGAATTATGCAGTATTGAATTTTTTCCAAAGGTACACCAAAAAATGTCTCAAGGCACACTAACGTACCACGGGACACTGGTTGAAAAACACTGCTCTACAACATGTCTGATGATGAGGACATATTCAGACAAATGTTGAAGGATGTTTCTTCAGGCTAACTACTGCGCAGGTTTGGTGTTTGTACAGTGAAGGAGAAAACACACTTTTTAAAGGGTACTGTACGGCAGTATACACAACACCTGTGATCAAAATACAAACCCAATGTGGCATACAATGACAGCTTGAGGATTTTATTGAGAAAGCCAGTCTGAACTGTAGAGACATTGGTTCCAGTCTGAACTTCTAGGACATTGGTACCAGTCTGAACTGCTGAGATATTGGTACCAGTCTGAACTGTAGAAACATTGGTACCAGTCTGAACTGCAGACATTGGTACCAGTCTGAACTGTGGAGACATTGGTACCAGTCTGAACTCTAGAGACATTGGTACTAGTCTGAACTGCAGAGACATTGGTACCAGTCTGAACTGTGGAGACATTGGTACATGTGTGGAGTGAGAGGACCAATGCCCACAAGAATTCTAAAGCCATTTGAGACTCTGGTCTGTGAAAGGTGCTAAATAAAAAAGTTGACTCACTTACTTACTTATGGTGCTTTCAGACCGGGACAGTCGTTGCGTCTGCGTTTAATGCAAAGTCAATGGGGAGGCACGTTTCAGCGTCGCATTGCACGGACCTCTCGGCACACACGCACGGACCGCCCAGTAGAAACGCACGGACTTGGTGGGAAAGTCAAAGGGGAGGAGAAGGAGCGGAAAATGAATGCCCACAGGAGATGGATTCCGCTCAACTTTTCCTCGAGACGTTCGTGCAGCGACCAATCAGAGAGCACGCACACCACTGACGTAATCACGCCACTACACGGCTTTTCCCCATTGAGAGCCAGGAACTGGTCATTTAAACATGGAGGATCAAGCTGTGGATAGTCTCATTGTCGCTGTTGCAAACTTTCCAGAGTTGTGGAAAGTCTGCATTCCGGAATATAGCGACAGAGCAAAGAAAGATTCGGCATGGAAGACCATTGCGCAGCAGCTCAACCTCCCTGGTAAGTTTTTTCAGTATCAGTGTAGTGAGGTGGGCGTGCTTGTGTTCGTGCGTCGTTTGGCAGTGTGCAAACCTCTGCGTCTGAAAACTAGAGAATGCGCGTCTGGTGAGCTGGGCTGCTGCGTTTAAGCGTTTTCGGTCTGAAAGCACCATTATACTGATATATACAGTACATGGGCCCTGATAGAGATGAAAGAATATGATAAACTAACGCAACATGTACTGTAAATTAACAATAGAGATTTTACAACCGCACACAGTCTTTTTATAAAAGCCACAAGCACTAGCTTTATACATTCATATGTGCTTTCTGGCTTGGCAATGACATGTGGCTCAATTTAGGGAGAGAATTTTAATTTGATCCACAAACTTAGTTCAAAAGTGAATTTAGCACAGATTATCACAGTGGGATGTGCCTGAGGGGACACAGAGGCTCCGCAGGCGGCCCACAAAGGATGTCAACACCACAAGCAATTCAGGTTGAAATCAAGTCTCCACTTCTTCCCACTCGCTTTGGAAACACTTGAAGCAGAGGGCCACAGACTGGTGCCAAGATTGGGAATAATTCTAATAAATGCTGAAAACACAGGTTAATACCAGGCTGATTTAGCTTATAATGGTTTTGTTAAAATTGTCCTTAATGGTAATGTTTATTGTGTTCAGGGTCCTTTCAAGATGAGGCCCATCCAGTCTCTGAGGGGACTCCCTAAAATCATGGAATTTCATCCTGCTGCAAGCCAACCTCTTCCCTTATCCCCATCTCAAACCTTAACTTGACTGTGACTCTTTGTAACAAATTTGAATAAATAAAGAGTAAAACTATGTGAATAATTACAGAAATACCAAGATGTCCGTCAGTGAAGCCGACATTGGGCTCACTTGGCCTCTGTCACATCTTTACATCTGCTTTTTCAGACAGAAAGGTTAAAGTGTACCAGCGTTAAATAGTGACTTACAGGGCTGTTTCTTACATTTATGCAAAAGGAAACATGGTTTCTATTAAGACAAAGACAGTATGATGTGGTCTGATTTATTCACCATGTTTTCTTTTACAAGACTATTCTGTCTGGACAAACAAAATGTAGTATTTGGAGTAGAATGCACTTGGACTGCTGCAAATAGTTAAAGTTTTCGACCATTTACCACTGTAGAAATCAGGTCACCCCTTTAAACCAAAATGAAGTTCCACTTTGACTCCGATATAGAGTTTCCATTCATTTGCACTTTGAACCATTGCTCCTGTGTTAAAAACAATTACAGCCTCTGATTACACGTCCTCTTGCGCGCACAGCTCACTGTGGCCGAGACACATCCATCCTTGACCTATTTAATGGCTGGGTTTGTTGAGGACACCCTGCACAAATTGAAAAGTTTTCTGTCGCTAAGTGAAATGTATGACTCTGCCTCCGCTCGGGTCTCGAAAATAAATAAAAAAATCACACATTGTTCTATTTTAATTCCCAATCCAGACAACCCCGTGCCTGCCAGTAAAAGCAAATTCAGGCCTCATCTATTGCACGACTCAAACTGCCAAAACGCACGATGAATGAGTGAATATTGATGAAGACCAGAGATGAATTTAGGTCATTTTTTCGTGTTATTGTCGAGCGGAGGTGGGGGGAAGACAAGACAGAAGGCGCGCCGCGAGTCCCAGGGGAGTGCGCGGGCCCCCTTGATATTCTCAATATTCCCAGCGAAGTTCAGAAAAAGATATCAATCTCACTTTGCGTCTACGGGCCGTCATTTGTTTGTGAGAGCTGCCGAGCGCCGCATAGATGACTGTGCCAATTCTTCAAATCCCACTTACAGTATATACACGCCGCACATCTGCCACTTTGCCCGGGCCTCGGCGTAAAGGGAAGCCGGCGCTTTGATTGAGGAAGCCGTGTCGCGCCGCGGAGTTAGGAATAAAAAATAGGCCGGTGCGCTTGTTTGGGCAGGAGCCGAGCGGAGATGGGATGGGGTAAGTGCGGTAGTTTTTCAAAGTCGCGTTGGTGGTAAGGAGAATGTGCAGGTGCGTAATGCGTTTGTGGTGTGGCAACAGTTTGTCTCTGGTTGAGTTTTGAGAATGAAACGGCGAGGTGAAAGGATATGTCTTCTATACCACAATGGTTATCACAAAAGTCTCATCAATGGTTTTGGTATAGTCCTAATACGCAACAGCAGTCATTTTGAAGTACTTTATAAAATTGTCAATTCGTCAACTGAAACATTGAGAATCTAACAATAAGAAAACAGGAAAATGTATAATAAACACTTGAAATGCAGTAATATGTCCATTATTGTTTTAGGATCTTGTGTGCAGCACTTGTTCTAAGTAAAGTGGCATCTATTGTCTTATGATTCTGCTGTATTAGACGTTTTTGTCCCAAATTGTCTTATCTCTGTGTTGAATGAGTGAGGGAGGTTTGAAAGAATTACAGGTTTGATACATTTTGATTGATTTAAAAAAGAGAAAATCAGACAGTTTCAATAGTAGATGTTTTTTTAGAAGCTATCCAGCTCTTTCTCATTGGCATTCCAGCAACAACACAGTCTTCCCAATCTTGGCCTTCACCTGTTCCCCATGCCCGCAGGTACCAGCCTCAGTGTGAGCGTGTGTGTTCGCCCTCTGCCCCTGTCCCGCAGACGCCTGTGTCTCGGTCCAGCCCTGTTTCACGTTTGGTCAGCCAATGGTCCATGCCGGCCTCCTCTCCCACCCGGACCCCTGCTTTACCCACACTATTGATGGCTGCTGATGTTCTGGAGAGCGTCCAGCTGACCTCGACAGGCGGGGGAGCGAGATGCATCATTGTCCAGAGAGGGACCCCAAGGAGAGGAGCTAAGCACAGCCGGACCGCTCCAACCGCGCATCTGTCAACAGGACGGGGTCATTAGCGCGCACCTGATAGCAGCGTGGTCCCAACAGGAGACGCAGTAGTGATTAGCCTGTTGTGTGTGTGTGTGTGACAATGAATGGTGAAAGGGGTTTTGTTGTGTTCGACTTGGCTATGGCATACTTTGGCTTTTGAAATGTTGTGATTGCATGAGATAAGAGGATATTTAATTGTCCCAGAGAGCTGAAACTCAAAAAGAATTGCAGAGTGCACTAAACAAAGACATTCTGTGGACTTTTATGTCTGGTAACGTGCAGGTTAATGTAAAGTACATATTTACCCAAGACAGTCACAATTTTGAGACTTGCATTCTATGTCCCAGTATTCATAATAAACCAGGGATGTTTCAGTCTTAGACATATTAGACTAATTTACCACCTGCTAAAAAAGGGACACCTGCCAACAGGACGAATATTTTGTCACTTGTTTAAGCAAAATAATGAAGACTTTGAAGAAACAGAAAAGAAGAAACAAAAGCACTGACAGAAGTCATTCACATAATGTGTGAATGCGCCATAAACAAGAAACTGGGTGATATGAGATGAACAGAGAGGTCTCTCAAAGCACTCAAACTTTACAGTTGTAACTGGTAAGGAAAAGGAATTCACCACACTTTACCCCAAACATACTTTACATGACACCTCATAGATTCCAAGCATTTGATTTGAAGACATGTCAAAAGTGTATGTCTCCCTCCTAATTAATCTGTATTTAACCTGGATAGTTTCAATAAGAGTCCAAAATGATATAGGGTTTCACCGGAGCACCAGAAGGACACCTGGGAGGTGTGTATGTTTATACAGTTCTCGAAACATTACTTGCCCAGAATATGTGTTTGGAAAATTAGATAGAGAGTAGAGTCAACCGTAGATGGATAAAAGCAGTTTCCTCGGCTCCCGTGCTGTTGGTCTGACTCAATGTCATGCTTTTCCTGAGACCATGTGAAAAACCCCGAACAACAACTTTCAACAGAAATGAGGCTTGAAGTTAAGATAATGATAATTGTACAAGCAATGATCATTAACTTCTTCTGGATGACAAATATCACGTAATGCAGGTGAAACTCAATGCACTAACTTGTAAATGATGTTCTAACTTAACAATGTGAAACTAATATATGTTGATATGACTCATGTATGGAGGTGTTGTCCTGGTTTTCTGATGTATTTAGTATAAACATTGACACAAACAGTCGGTGCTTTTGCATCTGAAACTATTATTCATGTCTGAAATTCAACTTAAATTGAGAAAGACTCATTACAAGCAAAGTGAGCTTCATGTAGCCTTTATTTGTTGTAATGTTGACCTCAGAAAGCCATACTCATTAAAATGTTTACAAAGGCTCAGCAAATGTCACTTTGCATGTAATGTAATCAATCATTATAAGTTGAATCACAGATATGAATAAAATATTGATCTATATATTCTAATTTCCTGAGTTTCACCTGCAGTAGCACCAGCCATTTGTATCTATCACGGATAGGAAGGACCCAAAAACAAATAATACAAAAATATTATAACATAATAAATGGCACAAGGGAAAAAGATCCAACAGTAAAAACCAAGGTCAAGACATGACGAAAAAACAACCATGGACCAACAACAGGTACACTAAATATGTCAGATTCAGATTCGTTTTATTTGCCATTTGCAGTAAATCCACATTAGAATACATTCCCCAGGACAAGACAAGTACATACATAAAACAAGGTTAAAAGTACAGAAATGAAACAAACAAAACAGGAAACAATGGTCACTGTGAAATTGATCGACTAAAACGGTTTCAGTACAAGTGCAAGATCATCAAAGTGCTCTGTTCAAACTGATGACAGCTTGTGTAAAGAAGCTGTTAGCAAAGCATCTCAAGGAAACAATATCTTCTGCCAGAAGGAAAAAGCTGGAACATGGCTTTTCGAGGATGGCCAGAAGAGTCATTATTCTAAAAGCTTGGACCACTAAACCAGGAGACTGCACCTTAAAAAACACACATTAGCATCTTCAATCTCCTCTGTGCCTGAATCCTTGCCTTGCAGTAATAAACTCTTTGAACAAGACCAAAGTGAGAGTGAAGGGAGATCTATAAGAGGGGCCAAGTCGCTTGGCAGATCGAATTAATTACAGCATATTAAAATGTTTGTTTACAGAAGTGAGCAGCTACAAGAGGTCTCGTGTTAATTAATTTAAGGCGTACTTCCCCGGCTTCAGCCATGTGTCACGAGCCGAACGTGCCGAAGAAACCGTCACGCTCTCATCGGATAACCATCGGCGTCCCGGAGGTGTGAGAGCAGAGGAGAAATTACAGCCACTGTAAACATGACGGTGTATTAGGGAAGGAAGGATCAGAGGAGCTATGATAAAGCTGAGGTACCTGACTTTCAAACCAAAAACATTGGATGAACTTAAATTCATCAAACTAGTTCCTCGCTTTCAAAACAGTTTGGTTCCATAACCATTTTCCCTTACATGTAATTTATTAGATTAACTTTTTAGTCGGGGAAGTGGAGAAGAACAGCGCAATCCACTCTCAGCTCAAAGCGTCAAATTACTCAAACCAATCTTTCCGCCGAAGATAACATGTTCTGTTTCGACAAACAACATGTAGCAAAAAACAAGTTAAGGTACTCCAGGTTTAAATCAGGTTTTAGAGGAATGGAGTTTATGTTGTTATACTTTTCAAACTGTGAAGAGCGAGATAAAAGACAAGCACTGGTTCTTTGCCTTTGCTCTCCTCACAGCCTCCTGAAAATAGATATAAATTCATTCAAATCCTTAAGGCCCCTCATCATTGGTTGAATTGTTCTCCTCCAGCAAATATTAATGGTTGTAGATGAACCAAGGGGAGGGACTATTTTAAACCTAATATTGTTTAAAAGTTCTTCCAAAAAAGTTCAGTGTCCTATGATTAGAAAACACACTTTTTTATTATTGTTATGAAATACAATTGAAGTTGATGACATCACCTTTAATGGTGACATAACATGCAAATTTGGGGAAAAAAAACATCTGGGCATCACTCGTCCAGAAAGCATTTATTCTTCAGCCGTCGCTATGTCACTGTTTGTCTCAGCGTTCTGGACCCTCCCACACACATCTCTTATCTCTCAACTTGAACATCATCACAAAGAGGGTCCTGAATCACCTGAGCCCCTTCCCCCGAGTCTCAGTCAGTAGCATTCTGTTGTTGTGCTGCGGTCCTTGTGAGGAAGAAGGGGGAACTTTCACGACAATTTTTAAAAACAAAAGTTCATAACCTACCAAAGTGTGTATTTGTATTATTATTATCAGTCTCCCCTTTGCCCGCATCTGTTCACTTTGCCTGCACAGAGCTGGGTTAAAAGGATTTTGTATATGCTGCTCCTTTTACATGGAACGTGTTGCAAAAAGACTGAAATTAGCAAAAATAATTTATTTCATTGAATGCTTTTAAATCCAGATTGAGAGCACTTCAGATGTCCTCATTGACATGTAACTGTTTTTATAAACTGTAATTGTGTGTTACTTTTGTCCAGGACTCCCTCAAAAAAGAGGTTCTTAATCTCAACGGGACTTTCCTGGTTAAATAAAGTTAATAAAATATAAAAATATGTTCTTCAATCAGAATGTGTTATTTATGATTGTAATAATTCATAATTCAAAATGGTTGTATGTAAGTAACAGAAATCACACACATGCAGACATTTTGTATTTTTGCTTAATAACCAGCAGTTTTTGGTCTTTTCTATAGCTCTTTTACAGCGTACTAAGCCAAACATGCTCAGAGTTTTAAAAAGTACTAATAAACCCGCTGTGATGAATTAATGCAACGCTTAAATGAATGTGTAAGGCGAAATAGACATCTGAAACCATTAAACCCACATTAAACCCATAAGCATTCGAAAGTCCAGACATACACACTCCACACTCACTTACAGACATTTTGAATGGTTTCTCTGTTCTTTAGGTCGTGAGCAGCAGTTTCCTGACTCCCAGCGTGTCTATAATGGACAAGAGTATTCAGGTAATACCGCTCTTAAACCTGAGCTTGTCTCCGCTCCGCTGTGTCATATTATAATCCTTGTAGCTCCGTTTTGACAAGACAAGAAGCATGACAGGCCTTCGACAGCGCACCTCACACGCGCCCAAAGATGTAAGGAGCAAATGTTACTTGGCACTTGTGAGGAATGGACCAATAAATCTTACATTGCACCAGTCCTGCCCCCTTTAATAGCTTCTGGGTTGTGGCTGCGAGAGAACAAAAAGAGACCGGAGCCTCCTGGGCGCCATGAGAAAGTGCAATGAATAATGTTTGCTCTGACAGATAGTCAGCAATGTGTGTTTTTGACATCCAATATAGTGGACTGGTCCTCCCCACGCTGCGTCTCACTCCGACCACAACACAAGCACAACTTCTGTTTCAGTGTTTGGAACGCAGTGGAGAAGGATTTAGGGGACAGAGATATGGGCAACATCATTACTGTCATCTTTCACTTGATTGGTGTAGCGCAGGTCAACAATAATATGCATGGAGCAACTAACAGAGACACATGGACCATCTACGTTATGTGATTAGAACTGTGATGGCGCTTGAGAAAGGGTTTCTATGTATTCAACATCAGCTGGGGAATCTTAAACCATGAAGAAGTCGTGGTTTGTCCTTTCTATTGTGTTTTCTTTCTTAATGCTTTGTTCATTTTGTTATTTGTTTACAGACAAAATTGGCTGTGTTTCTTTCTATACTGATAGAAATGTCAAATATTTGTTTACTAAATAATCAGGGAAGAGGGCAGTCAGCCTTGATGACTAGAAATGTTTCATAATAAACTTTTGTAATTGACTGTAAAGTGCAGGTTTCAAGCTCCACCCAAGCTGATATCACAGATCATCACAATCAGATCAGCATGTCCAAATACTTATTTTTATATCAAAAGTATAATATTTCCAACTCCTCCACTAGTGTTGGAACATTCTTTAATCTTGTATTGAAATGTATCATGTGGATGCAAAATCACTTGCCGGCGACACGGTGGCTGAGTGGATAGCACTCTCGCCTCTCAGCAAGAAAGTCCTGGGTTCGAATCCTGGTCGGAACAGGGTCTTTCTGAGTGGAGTTTGCATGTTCTCCCCGTGTCTGCGTAGATTTCCTCCGGGTAGTCCGGTTTCCCCTACCACTAAAAACATGCTCATTAGGTTAAATCCTCCAGCTCCGGTAGTCCTGACCAAGCCAAGCATCAACATCTGGAGATGGGTTCCCGGGCGCTGTTCTACGGCGACCACTGCTCCTGATGTAAGCCTTCGTGGCATCAGGATGGGTCAAATGCAGAGGATTGAATTGCCCTACGGCAGGGGTGCTCAATACGTCGATCGCGATCTACCAGTCGATCGCAAAGGTAGTATTGGTAGATCGCATTAAATAAATAAAAAATTACACATTCTAAACGAATATATACAAAAAACTCCGGGCAAAGTGGAGATTTTTGAAAACTCCATTAATGCATTTGTGTGTAGACAGAGATAACCGGAGTTTTGCGTTCTCGCACGCCAAAGTACCCCCCTAAATTCCTCTGATCACTGAAGCATGGATCATACTACCTTAAAAACTGTTCGCTGTGAGATGCTCGCAGCAGCAAACATCCTCCACATCAGAGAGCAACAAAGTGATCGCGGGGACTCACGCTCGAAAACAACTAAACCAGGACTAAACCAGGACTAAACCAGGACTAAACCAGGACTAAATCAGGGCTGAGGACGGGGTCAGTGCTTGTAAACATACGTCTTTACTCTGAGTGTCTTCTATGACTGTAAAAGTGCCGTTACCGGCGTCTGCATCAAAGCTCCGCCCACTTCTGTGTTTTTCCCCAACGCAGGACAGGACGTAAGAGACGCACATGTTTGGAATGTTACGAATGTGATTGATAACACAGATGTGTGGATGCAAATTATTTTATAAACTGAGGAGGGGAAATATTTGGATTAAAAAAAACCAGGCATGGCACATGGACATGGCACCACAGTCAAATGACATCTGTGTTTTACTCAGTAATGTTTTACTGACACTTAGGTGACTGCACATGCGCAAACAACCGCGCTCAGTGCAGGAAAGCTAAACCACGACAAACTTGTCAGGGAGTTACCACCAATTTTCCGGACTATGCATCCCTGGCCGATTCAATTCAGTGCAAGTCATCAGAGTAAACTCGGGTAATGACAAAAAATGTACATAGGTAATTGTGTTGTGTTGTGCTATATTGGCTCATGCGGTTTTGCATGTACATAAACATACATTGTAGGTATAAAGAATATTTTTTGAAATAAATATGTGATTTGCATTTTTGTAGTAGGTAGATCATTTTGACTTGATCCTTTTATAAGTAGCTCGCATGCTGAAAAAGTGTGAGCACCCCTGCCCTACGGAGATTAATAAAGTGCGTCTTTACCTTTTACTTATGTAGTAAAACATCAACTGGTGTGTAATGCTTTTTATCTCTGAGTGCAAACTCCTCCACAACAAGTGACCGTCACATTTCTCATTGCGACGGACAAATCTTCCAGCCCCAGGCCGCTCTTGTATACGCTCTCTCCGCGTGCGTCAGAGCCTGTGTGGTCCGAGTCGGTGCGGAGGGGGTGATGGCGAGGCCACTGGACTGGAGAGGACCACCTGAGAGTTGTTTTTGGGCATTAGTGCAGACCCCTGGCCCCTCCTCCGCCTCCCTTTCTCCCTCTACCACTGAAATATGACACCGGTCTTCCCTGCGCCCTCCCCAACGCAAGCCACCCGCCGAATTAAAAAGCCGCTCTTCAATAAAACATCTTTGAGTAACGCACGCTTGAGATGTCCCAGTAATTGACTTTTGGACTATAGGATTTACATGAGCCGTCCAAAGCAGCTTACCTGTGCAGCGATGCCCCTTGAGGAGGCAGCCCCCCGGTCCCAGCTGACGTGGAATTTCCATAAACTGTAAAAATCTCGGTGTTTTTTTTCCAACAAATGCAAAAACTAGCCACTGTAGATAATTTAAAGGGATTTAGAGGCAAGTGTTTTGGAAATCTGGAAAGTGAAATCTGGCCAAATCATTTTAATCCGTTCTGAGCTGAGTTAGTCCAATGTATCCAGCCACACAGAATGAATGAATTGTTTTATAGACTTTAATGTTTAAGCTCTATACTTTGTTAATCTCATTTTAAAAGCTTCACACAGATGTATTTTATGAGTCGGTTGAAGGGACTTTATATTCAAAATACATATGTTATATTTTTTCTTGATTAAGAGGGAATGAGGATTTCTGCACCTAATCTCTAACTTTCCATTCTAACTGAGAGGAATGTGGACCATTTTCAAATCCCAGGCCTAAAACTCTATTTAAGAAAGTCAATCAGGACTTTTTTATTATTAGCATTTTAGCTTCATACTTTTTAATGTATTTGGAATTGATATACTGATCTTATTGATGTACTAATGCAGTTTTTAATCTGTAGCAATTTGAGGTTTCCTTTGAAATGAAAGGTGCATTACAAATAAAATTTATTATTTTTGGATTTATTTATTTCAGTTGTGGGCAAAAAAAATAGTGTTACTTGACATATTACACATGTATTTTGTAGCCCAGCCACATCATTGAAAAGGTGCAGAAAGAAAATACTCAGGGATTCAGATCTCTCTTGTCTCAGTATACATGCAGACTCAGACCTCTCCTGTCCCAGTATACATGCAGACTCAGACCGCTCTTGTCTCAGTATACATGCAGACTCAGACCGCTCTTGTCTCAGTATACATGCAGACTCAGACCTCTCCTGTCCCAGTATACATGCAGACTCAGACCTCTCTTGTCTCAGTATACACGCAGACTCAGACCTCTGTCTCATTATACATGCAGACTCAGACCTCTCTTGTCTCTAAACAATGCAGACTCAGACCTCTGCCTCAGTGTACATTGACTCAGACCTTTCTTGTCTCAGTATACATGCAGACTCAGAACTCTCTGTCTGAGTATGCACGCAGACCCAGACCTCTCCTGTCTCACTATACATGCAGACTCAGACATCTCTTGTCTCAAGTAAGTAAGAACACTCTTTGTGATACTTCGGGCCACATCTCATAACTCTGCCTCAGCCCTTTGGAACTGTAATGCTATTGCTAATATTGTTTTTTTTTACACATAGCACACACATTTGACATTTGTTGATACATTTCATTGCAAAATGAAATGGCATTGGTACAGAAATAACTGGTGTAGACTAGTTTTAAAAACATATACCTGTTCTTGTTTCAGTCTCTCTAATTGCAACGCGGTTTAAACAGAATCCAATTTTTAAAACATTAATCATAGTTCAATATTTTGCCGAAAGCGCACAGCACTAAATGAGTGTATCTTCAGGGCTAAGTAGTGCCGGTGGAAAGAGGGCTTAATAAATACTCATAGGGGAGAACATCCAAACTCCACACAGAAGCACAGGTTCTAACTGCTGCGCCACTGTGTCATTTTTTATTCATCTATCAAGGTTTTCAAACATATTTTTACAAGAACAACTTTAGAAAGGAAAGAGCAGCACCAATAAAAAAAATTACTCCCCCAAACACAGCTCCACATCTTGTAACACTGTCATTATACACATGTTCAGTCTCATGTGACTTATGTGTAGTTTTTGAGCGTCTTCACCTGACCCACATGTAAGCAACAGACTATAAAACACTTTGGTTTTGTTACAATAATTATTAGCAATAATTAATAGTTGTCTCAAAAAAGTCTTTGGTCACAAAGCGGGTTAAATGCAAAATTGTTCTGACACACCAGCCCATGTTGCTCAGTGTGTAAGGAAAGGGCGCCCCATGATTTTTGCCTCCTGATTCTCCCTCCTCCCATTCAGAGACGGTTTATAGACATGTTCTTGCCGTCGCTGTGTGCCGCTTGTTTGCTTCTGCATGTTCTGTGATCAGCAGACAGGAAGCACTCCCACTCCCCACATCAGAGCAGCGTAACTGAGCGTGTGGAGCCTTAGGAGTCAAAGTCAACGTGAAGCTCCAGCGCTGAAGCCTCCTCTGAGCTAACAACAGCTGCTCCGAGGAGACCAGCCTCTCCTCACACTGTGCATGCATATTGTTTTTATTATCTGACACATGATAACAAATGAGCTCACATGGCTTCATAGATATGTGTCTTGTTAAACAGAGTTACACATGGAGTTGGTGCAAAAAAGTACAGTGGAAATGTGTTCAGATAAGTTTATTTTGAAGAACTTGTTATAGAAGTTAATCTCTTTGAATATCAACAAACAAAAAAGAGTATTTTCTGATACTGCAGATAAACGTAAAGGTGCACTTTATTAATCCCTGTAGGGCAATTCATCATGTGCATTTGACCCATCCTGATGCCACTCAGGCTTACGTCATGGCCGGAGCTGGCGGAGTTTACCTATTGTATATGTTTTTAGTGGTCGGGGAAACCGGCGCACCCGGAGGAAACCTATGCAGACACGTGAAAAGCATGCAAACTCCACTCAGAAAGACCCTGTTCCGACAAGGATTCAGACCCAGGACCTTCTTTCTGAGAAGCGAGCGTGCTTTCCAGTCAGCCATCGTGCCGCCCTTACAAAACATATTTAGATAAACATTTGCATCTATAATGTATTAAGTTAGATATCAATTATTTCACCCAGAAAGGGGTCGAGGGGTGGCAATCAGAGCTGCCACCAATTTCCAGCGCACCAGCCCCTCTTTGATCCTCCTGCAGGTGGTGGGTCCACAGGAGAGATGAGTGTCTTGCCCTTGACCCCAGGACACAACGACACAACGAGAGCAAACATCAGTGGAGAAGATGGGAAAGGTCTTAAGATTAACTTTTTGAGCAACTTTTTCAGGCAGAAAGGTGAAAGAAAAAGAGTCGTATCTCACAAGGCTCTCTCTTTCAAATATGTAAAAGAAGACGTTTTCTACTAAGATGAAGACAGCATGTTGTGTTTAATTTGTTCACAACATTTTACTTTTTCGAGACTCCCTCTTTTGGGACAAACATCTATGGATCCAAAAAGTTACTTACTCCAGCTTTAAAGGTGGTTTAAACGACTTGGTGCGATCCCTACGTTTACTTCCCATGTCCAACTTCCTGACTGTACAGACCCCAGTGTGCCACTCATTCACAAACACATACAGTAGGACCCTCTCCCCCTCCCTCCCCCGCTCCCCTCCTCCCATCTGTCAAGAGACAACACATCTGAATTTTTAATCCATGGGCAGCCATTGAATACGGGCGAATTGGCGATTACAGATGTTTAGCTGTGTTTTTCCTGCTGTCTGTCTGCCGGTCTCCGTTCAGGCCCTTCAGCTACCTGCTCTCCTCTCTCTCCCCCCCTCCTCACCCCTCACTCACCCTCTCCCCCCACTTCTCTCTTTCGCTCTCTCTCTCCCACAGCCAACAAACAGCGCTCCACACACCGCCGTTCTGTGCCATCATGCCACCATATGACACTGCCATCATTTGGTAATTAAACCCTTGCTGGCTTTAAATATGAAAAGCTGGCAAGAGCTGATGATGATGATACTGGCTGTCGCTCACACACACACACACACACACACAGAGGCAGCAGCATATTGTGCTCTTCTGCTCTGCTCTGGACAGACGCTACATGCATCCACACACACACACACACACACATACACTAATCCGATGCAAACTCACAAATTCTTCTGAAGTCCTGCTCAAACTATTAAGTCCACAGACTCCAGACAACTTACTAACACACACAAACAAAACTCTACAATCTTTGTTTTTTATTAGTTACAGTAAGTAAGTAATATTTATGTATATACCGCCTTGCAGACCAGAGTCACAAAGCTATTTACAACGGATAATTTTTGGGCAATTTTCCTCTCACGAGATGGGAGCGGTGTCGCCAGTACAGGAGGCGCATGCCAGACCTATTGTACATGTTTTTAGTGGTAGTGGAAACCGAAGTACCCGGAGGACAGACAGCAGACACGGGGAGAATATACAAACTCCACTCTCGGAACAGAAAGGCCCTGTTCCGACCGGGATTCGAACCAGGACCTTCTTGCTAAGATGCGAGAGCGCAATCCACTCAGCCACCAGCCACATAACGCATGTCTTTTATTGTTGTTTCTATTGCACTAAAAAATACGGTACAAAATGTGTGGCCTTACAGTGGGCTCTGTACATTTATATAATGACTTTCTCATGTAATATAGTCAGAAAGTGAAATGTTCATCTCATTTTCTAAGAGAATACAGAAGATGCATGTAACATTTAAAGCTAGTCTCTCCAACTTTCAAACCACAAAAAAATGAAACAAAATAAGTAGATCTTTCTAACTAATTCCTCATCTTTAGAACTGTTTGGTTCTATCACTCCACATCCACAAACAAAAATGTTGGATGGAAAGTGAAAAAGAGAGTACAACCCTCACTCAGCCAATAACTCTCTGCTCAAAGTGTCAAGTAGTGACTCAGAGGGCTGCACCAGACGGTTTTCTTATTTTAGAAACAACAGCAGCGTGTTGTTGTCTGATTTGTGAACAACATTTTACTTTACAAGACTTGTGATCAATGACCTTCACAAAATGGACAAACGCAGACATACTGTAACAGGTCGTGGCGACTTCATTTTGCATCTGTTGTTTTGATTATATTAACGTCTTTTGGTGTGATGTTATGTGATGCAATATTTTCCTTTATAACGTAAATCCTGATTTAATTCTGCCTGAAAAATATGTAAAGCTGACGATAA